AAATGCCTTTGCATAATCAGTAAAACACAGGTAAACATCTTTCTGGTATTCTCTGCTTTCAGCCAGGATCCATCTGACATCAGCAATGATATCCCTCCTTCCATGTCCTCCTCTGAATCTGGCTTGAATTTCTGGCAGTTCCCTGTCAACGTACTGCTGCAGCCGCTTTTGAATGATCTTCAGCAAAATTTTACTTGCATGTGATATTAATGATATTGTTTGATAATTTCCGCATTTGGTTGGATCACCTTTCTTGGGAATAGGCATAAATATGGATCTCCTCCCACAGGCTGGCCAGGTAACTGTCTTCCAAATTTCTTGGCATAGATGAGTGAGCACTTCCAGTGCTGCATCTCTTTGTTGCAACATCTCAACTGGTATTCCATCAATTCCTGAAGCCTTGTTTTTCACTAATGCCTTCAGTGCAGCTCGAGCTTCTTCCTTAAATACCATTGGGTCTTGATCATATGCTACCTCCTGAAATGGCTGAAAACGGACCAAATCTTTTTGGTACAATGATTCTGTCTTCTTTCCATCTTCTTTTGATGCTTCCTGCGCCATTCAATTTTTTGCTCATAGAATCCTTTAATATTGCAACTCTAGGCCTTAATTTTTTCTTCAGTTCTTCAAGCTTGAGAAATGCCCACTGTGTTCTTCCCTTGTGGTTTTCTAACTCCAGCTCTTTGCACATTTCATTATAATACTTTACTCTGTCTTCTTGAGCCACCATTTGAAATCTTCTTTTCAGCTCTTTTATCATTTCTTCCATTCATTTTAGCTACTCTACGTTCAACAGCAAGTTTCAGAGTCTCTTCTGACACCAATTTTGGTCTTTTTGTCTTTTTAATGACCTCTTGCTTTCTTCATGTATGATGTCCTTGATGTCATCCCACAATTCATCCGGTCTTTGGTCATTAATGTTAAACAAGTCAAACCCATTTTGAGATGGCCTCTAAATTCAGGTGAAGTTCCTATTTTGACTCTTGTGGACTTGTTTTAATTTTCTTCAGCTTCAACGTGAACTTGCATATGAGCCATGATGGTCTGTTCCACAGTCAGCCCCTGGTCTTCTTCTGAATGATGATATTGAGCTTCTCCATCATCTCTTTCCACAGATGTCGATTTGATTCCTGTGTATTTCATCCGGTGAGTTCTACGTGTACAGTCACCATTTATGTTGCTGAAAAAAGCTATCTGCAATGAATAAGTCACTGGTCTTGCAAAATTCTATCATGCTATCTCCAGTGTTGTTTCTATCACCAAGCCCATTTTTTCCAACCACCAACTCTTCTTTTGTTTCCAACTTTTGCATTCCAAATACCAGTAATTATCAATGCATGTTGACTGCACGTTTGATCAATTTCAGAGTGCAGAAGTTGGTAAAACTCTTCAATTTCTTCATCTTTGGCATTATTCAGAGTGCAGAAGTTGGTAAAAACTTCAATTTCTTCAGTTTTGGCATTAGTGCATAAATTCGAGTAATAGTCATATTAACTGGTCTTCCTTGTAGGTGTATGGATATTATTCTATCACTGACACCATTGTACTTCAGGACAGATCCTGAAATGTTCTTCTTGACCGATGAATGCAATACCATTCCTCTTCAAGTTCTCATTCCCAGCATGGTAGACCATATGATTATCTGACTCAAAATGCCCAATACCAGTCCATTTTAGCTCACCAATACCTAGGATATCAATCTTCAAGCATTCCATTTCATTTTTGACAACTTCCAATTTTCCTAGATGCATACTTCATGCATTCCACGTTACAATTTATTAATGGATGCTTGCAGCTGTTTCTTTTCATTTTGAGTCATGCCACATCAGCAAATGAAGGTCACAAAAGCTTTACTCTATCCACATCATTAAGGTCAACTCTACTTTGAGGAGGCAGCTCTTCCCTAGTTGTATTTTGAGTGCCCTCCAACCTGAGGGGCTCATCTTTGGTGCTATATCACACAATATTTCGCTGCTATTCCTAAGGTTTTCACTGGCAAATTTTTTTCAGAAGTAGATGGCTAGGCCTTTCTTCTTAGTCTTAGTCTGGAAGCTCCACTGAAACCTGTCCACCAGGGGTTACCCTGCTGATATTTGATATACCAGTGTCATAGCTTCCAGCATCTCAGTAACACACAAACATCCATAGTATGACAAACTGACAGACAAGTGGTGATTAGGGAAATGCAAATCAAAACCACAATGAGATACCACTTCACACCCATTAGGATGGCTATTACCAAAAAAAGGGAAATAACAGGTGTTAGACAGGGTGTGGAAAACTGAAACCCTCACCTAATGATCGTAGGAATGTAAAATGGTGCAGTCTATGGGGATGGCAGATCCTCTAAAAGTTAAACACAGAATTACCCTATGATCCAGTAATTCCACTTCTAGGTATATACCCAAAAGATCTGAAAGCAGAGACTCAAAGTCTAATGGTCATTAGACTAATGTTCATGGCAGCATTATTCACAATAGCCAAAAGGTGGAAAAAACCCAAATGTCCACCAACAGATGAACAAATAAACAAAAATGTGGTACTTATAGACAATGGAATATTACTCAGCCATCAAGAAAAATGAAGTTCTGATACATCCTACAACACTGATGAATCTTGAAACCAATACGCTAAATGAAAGAAATCAAACACAAAAAGACAAATACTGTATGATCCTACTTATATGAAATATGTAGAATGGGCAAATGCATAGAGACACAAGTTTACCGATGGCTACCAAAGGCTAGTGGGAGGGGAAATAGGGGATAATTGCTTAAGAGCTACTGGGTTTCCATTGAGGGTGATGAAAAACTTTTGGAAATAGATAGCAGTGATGGTTGCACAATATGATGAGTGTAATTAATATCAATGAATTGTACCCTTAGAATGGCCAAATTTTTGTTATGTATATTCTATCACAATAACGTTAGGAGAAAAAAATACAGAATAATCTTAATGAGGAAAAGTCAGGAAGAAAAAAAAAGAAACATGCAGCTTCAAGGTAAGTGAAAGGGAGAGAAATGAACCCTATTTTGGCCTCAGTGATGTCAAGAAAGGCAGAGTGGGACAATCCAACCACATGAGCTCTGTCATCTATAGGAGCCTCAAGTTTTATTCATCAATTAGAAAGAGCCTCTACTTCTGCTCCCTCTTCAACCACTTGGCTGAAGCTCCCCAAAGACTTCAAGTGAACTTAGTTACCCAGGGTCTACTCTGTCCACCTAAAATGAATGTTTATTATTCTCTAGACAAAGCTTTGGGAATCAGCAATAAAAGTTTCATTTAATTTTCCTCTTATCAATGGGAAAGGCAGAATCCTATGATCTTTTAAGTATGGCTTTTTGAAAACTTTGTATAAGATGAATCCTTGGAACTTATTGGATCCCTGGAACAAAAACACAACAGACAGCCAGACACCACCAAAAACTCAAAAATGGAAGTCAACTATGTCTGAGTATATCCAGACAGGCATTTTCTAGGAATCTGTTCTGCTTGAAGGATAAACAGCTTTCCTTTTCTTTTTTTTTTTTTTTTTAAGAGCTCTCTTTCCAATCCCATCTTCTTCATTATTTTTGAGGCAAAACTTCCACAGCATAGTCTTTCTTTCCCTTCCTCCTTAAACAACAAGTAGACCATGCTCACTAACTTCCTACTCTACCTAAATATTTTTTTCCCTTTAACAAAGCTCTTGACTTTGCTTTATACCCTGACAGATCTATTTCTGATTTTAAAAATTCTTCTCAGTCCATTCTAAACGTGGACAGAACAATGAAAGCTGGCCTAAGATTACTTTTAGCATGGACACATGCTGCCAATTCTTTCAATCTACTGTCCTTCGGTCATAGACCTCCCAATCTTAATAATCTCAGTAAGAACTTCTATGATTGGCTTCCCAGATTCTATCCTTCTATTCTATACAAAGTCATGATTCCTAGAACCAAATCCACAGGGATGGTGGTAAAGGAACCCATGTGGCTCCTTTACTGTTGCTCCAGACTTGGTATTAAAGCAGAACTTAATTCAGTAGGGCTGGCACTTTTATTTGTGCTCCTTCTCTCTAGCTCCTCCTTTTAAACCTCCCCTGCTTGCTACCTGTTGGCAGTGCTGGTGTTGCTGCTCCCACTGCTGTGTTTCTGTGCCCGGCTCAACCTCCGTGGGGGCTTTGAATGCTGCAGCCGGGGGCTTGGCATGGAGGGAAACGTTGAGGCGTAGCCATGTTCACACTCTGAAGAGATAGCAAGAAAAAAAGATCTGTTAAGAGGAATATACTCAAATTTAGGATCCACAGATCCAAAGTCCTTGCAATAATAGGTTGCTGAAAGTAAGACAACAAAAAGAGCTGAAATTCTCCCACTTTTTATGGTTGGAAGATAAAAATTTCAGTTCTTGCCTGGATATCAAGCCTATGACATTATATACAGACCCAATCCATTCCCTGGAAGGTGTACTGGTATCTCCTCTAAGCCAAATAATTTCTCCCTCCTCTCAGAAATTCTTTCCTCCAAGGATTTTTCTTCACTCAAACACCCTAATTTCTGAGGCCAGTTACCATTCACCTCAATGATTTCACTTGCTTCAAAACCCCCTTTCCCTTTAACTCTCTCCATTCTAGAGGGTGTCTCTCTAAGCCCCACATTTTTATGTACTTCAAATAATTCAATCACCTAGTCCTAGAGGCCGCTTTCTTTCCTGACACCCCAATTCCCAGAGTTACTGCTCTTCATACCCCAATTTCTTTACGACATCCCAATTCCCAGAGTTCCTGCTCTTCATATCCCAATTTCTTTACATCTCCAAGGGGATGCCATCTCATCACACCTCACATACTCAGATAACCCTTGCCTACAATTCTTTGTTCTCCTCCCTCCCTTTCAGCTGGGCATTTCCTTCCTTTACTCTCATCCAGCCTTGTCTCCTCACCCCTTGTGCCCAGCTCCCACCCCTTCCTTCTTTTCTTTCTTTCCTCTTTCCTCCCAAGTCCTCAGACTCACCTCCTCATCCCCAACACCCTCTCCCACTCTCCTCCTATCCAGCTCCTCTCACTCCTCCTCTCTTCTCACACCTGCCCCAGCTCTGCCTTCACCCTCTCTCCAAAGATCCCTCCTCTCCTCTCTCCGGTTTTTTGTTGTTGTGAGCCCTCAAGATGATTCCATCTCATAGCTTCCAACTCACAGAGACCCTATAGGACAGAGTAGAACTGCCCCATAGAGTTTCCAAGGCTGAAAATCTTTAGGGAAGCAGACTGCCGTATCTTTCTCCCATGGAGTGGCTGGTGGGTTGGAACCACAGACCTTTTTGTTAGCAGCACAGTGCTTAACCACTGTGCCACCAGGGTTCCTTCTCCTCTCTCCCAGCATCCCAAATCTCCCCATGTTCCTCTCACCCAGCCCTCACACACCTCACAACACCTTCACCCTCCACACACAAACACACGCACAGCGACACCTCACCTCACAAGCACCACCCCTAACACTCACGTGCACCTCCTCACATACACATGTGCCCCCCTCACACATATATCCTCACACACACCTCCCTCAAACTTACACGTACCCCTGCTCACACATGCATACTGTCCTCACACACACCACCTCTCACACTCCTCCCCAAACATGCACCCCTCCCCTCATTCACAGGCATCTCCCCTCCCACACATGCCTCCCCACATGCGTGCTTGCCCCTCACACGCACTTCTTCCCTCATACACACATGCCCCTCCCTTGCCCCTCACACTTTAACACTGCCCTCACATATGTAACCTCCCCTCACACATGCACCCCTCTCCACTCACTCAAGCGCATCTCCCCTCACACATGTGCATGCCCTCTCACGCATATGCCCCTCCACTCATACACATACCTCCCTTCATAAACCTCCCCTCCCACACACCTCTCCCCACACCCACGTGTGCCTCCCCAACTCATATGCATCTCCCTCACACACACGCAGCTGCCGTCACACATGCAGCTCCCCTCACACACGCTTCCTCACACACAGCACTCTCCTCACACACACACACACAACCCTAGCCTCACACATGCACCTCCCCTCTCTCACACACACTTCCCCTTACACACACGCACCTGTTCCCTCACACTCGCACCTCCCCTCACACACACACCTCCCCTCACACACCCCCTTCCCTCACACACGTGCCTCACCTCTCTTCTCACACACACATGCGCCTCCGCTCATGCGCGCCTCGCCTCACACGCGCGCCTCCTGCGCGCCTCGCCTTACACGCGCGTATCCCTTTCCTCACAGACGCACCTCCCCCCACACGTATGTCCCCTCACACACACGGCCCCTCCTCACACACGCACCCCTTCCCTCACACACTCGCCTCCTTCTCTCACACACGTACCTTCCTTCACACACACACGCGCGCAACCCTTCCCCTCACACACGCGCCTCCTCTCACACACGTACCTTCCTTCACACACACACACACACACACACGCGCGCGCGCGCGCGCGCGCGCCCCTCCTCACATACATGCCTTCCCCTCACACACGCGCCTCCCCTCACACGCGCACCCCTCCCCTCACGCACGCGCCTCCCCTCACCCGCAGCACCGCACTCCCTGCGAGGAGCAGGAGCCCGCAGGCACCGACGGCGGAGACGGCAGTGCTCAGCCGTTACCTCGCTCTCGGCGCTCCAAAAACTCTGCCGCCTCTAGCAGGCGCTGCACATTGATCATCCGCACCCGCTCCATGGGCACCGCGGGTGGCGGCTGGGGCCCTCCCTTGCCCCCTTCTCTCGCCGACAGGAGGCGCCGCAAGCGGCTACAGTCCCGCGCCGCCCCGGGACATGTGCGGCTGGCGGGCGGGCCAGCCCGACCGCGGCTCGGCGCGCTCTCCGCCGCCCTCCCCGCCCGCCGCCTTTGCTTCCCTAGCCGAGCCGCGGCGTCGCCGGCAGCCCGCGCGCGGTTTGTTTACTTCTCAGCATGAGCACGGGGGAGGGGTGGGGGCAGCGCCTCGTCCCGCCCCCTCCCGCCCCTTCCTCAGCCCCCTGGGAAATGTAGTCCCGCCCTCGCCCACTGCACGCTGGGAATCGGAGTCCGTACGCCGCCTCAGTACGCGGGCGTCCTGCAGGATTCCTCAATGCCCTTTCAACGGCCATTGAAAACCTTATGGAGTACAGTTCTACTCTGACACACATGAGGTCGCCATAAATCAGAATTGACCGATGGCAACAGTATTAAAAAAAAAAAAAAAGAAAGAAAATGCTTGGGGCACTTGGATCATGTGTCTGGCCTTTCACAGTTGACCTCCGTGTGAATTAGTAGGGTCACAGTAAAGAGTGAGAGGAGAGGAAAAAGTAGGGTGAGAGTCACCAAAAGGCCACCTAGGCATGTGTGAAGAAAAGGAGAGGTGCTAAGAACTGGGTTATGCACAAAAATCTCCAACCTTTTCTAGCAGCAGTTGAAGGTGTCACCTCCTTTTCCCTGCTCCAGCTGCTTACCGGAGCCCCTGCTTGGACACAGGCTACAGCACAAAGCTTAGGGCTCTATCCTTTGGAGAGTAATGCCACCCACAGACCACCCCTCAGCACCAATCCCAACTGGAGGAACCCATAGCCTGTCTTCTGCTCAGATGAATTCAGTCTGTGTTACAAATGCAGATGGGAAAACTGAGGAAAAGTAAGGCTTCCAAAGTTTACTGACTAAAGTCTCATTTGAAGATGGAAAAAAACCTCCCAGCAAGGCTCTACCAAGCACAGTCCAGCTGGGGACAATCTGCCTTCTGGAGGAAGCAGGCAAAGTTCTCAATTTTAGGGGTCCCTTCCTGGCTCAGTTTACTAAATGCAAATTTCCAAGTGACTTATTGCAGATTCATGAACAACGGAGGCTGGTCTGTGTTATATCTTTTCTGCAGATGGGAGAGTGGAAGGGACCATGAGGTTAAATTACAAGTCCAAGGTCACTGTGTTGATGACACCTGGTGCTAGACGAAGTTCCTTGAAGCTGCAAAGTAGTAACTGTGCAGGGCACTGTTTTCTGCAAGTGTTTTTAGGGTTGGGAGGTTTTAAATAAACAAGGTTGGAGTCTGGGGAAGGTGAGTTCCGAGTTTCTAAATAAGAACCAGAACAGTTATACGTCTTTCCATCCCCCACCCCAAAATGGCAACCGCAGCCTCCTCTCCACCTCTCCCCCCCCCCACTCCCCTCAGAGCCCAGAAACTTGAAGAGCAGCAGCAAAGCTTTCCCTCTCCTCGGCAGGTCTGCCTTGCCTAACTTCATGCGTAAGCTCTCCTTAAGTCAGAGGTGGCTCAGAGCTGCGGGTCTATGTGCAGCCGAGATAAATTTGGTGCTAGAAGGGATGACGTAATGCTAAACCCGAGAGGTAGCGGCCGCCTCCCAGGGCTCCCGTCGCCGGGGCTGCCGGCAGACATCCCAACTATAAAGAAACACACCAAGCAACCCAGGTGCCCAAGCCGGGGAGAAAGAAGCAAGGGAAAGAAAGGCCGTGGGGGCGGGGAGGGACGGGGGGAGACGGAGCAGGGAGCAGCGGAGGCAATATGAATCTGAGATGGATGAATCTGGAAGTTTGTTGCTAACTTCAGTTTTCTGGTGAGATCAGGCCCCTGGCAGAGGCTCCAACAGCTGCACTTGACTTCTACCCTGGCCTATCTCTTACCCCCTTAGAAAAGGGCTTCTTACATTTTATTAAGTGGCCCTTATTATAGCAGCCTATTTCAGTGAATATAATGGATATGTTAATCTCTCAGATGTCCCTTTTTCTTCTTTTTTGCATGAACTTGGGTCCGAGAAGAAATCTGCATTGCAGGACTCAATAATTACGCACATCTAAGTGGCTTGCTTATTCCAGAGCACCCTACTGGGGGGAATATTAGGGGGTATGTGATAAGATATTTGGGAGGATTTTGCTAGGGCCATCCCAAATGAATGTTCCTCCAGATAACATTACATGGTTCGTTTCACAGATGTTTATATCATGAAGGTGATCCCTCACCCCAGTCCCAATTTTTCAGATGAGAAAACTGAGGCTCAGAGAGATAACTTGCCCAAGGCCACACAGCTATCTAACTGATGAAGCAAGAGTTAGAACTCAAGCCTTCAGACTCTAAGGGTAGCTCTCTATCCATCTCCATAATTCTTTTTTCTGGATGATTCATTAAAAACAAAAATATTAAAGTGGAGTAAGTCTTCTGATCTTTTAACCTGTGGGGCCCCAATCCTTAAATATCAAGTTACATTCCAAAG